AACTTTTCCTGTTTTTGGTCAATTAGGATTACCAAAATTATTTCTATTTGCTAAATACCAGAATAATGAGACAGATCATTTTTTAGACAATTTTTTATTACTTTCTTGAGAGTCAGAAGTTTACATACACTAAGATTAGTATGCCTTTAAACAATTTGGGAAAGCCCACATGATGATGTCATGTCTTTGGAAGCCTCTGATAGGTTTATTGACAACATGTGGGTTAATTAGAGGCACACCTGTGGATGTATTTTAAGGCACACCTGAAACACACTGCTTCTTTGTGTAACATCATGGGAAAATCAAAAGAAATCAGCCAAGACATCAGGAAGAGAATTGTGGACTTGCACAAGTCTGGTTCATCCTTGGGTGCAATTTCCAGATGCCTGAAGGTGCCACGTTCATCTGTTCAAACAATTATACGCAAGTATAAACACCATGGGAATGTCCAGCCATCATACCGCTCAGGAAGGAGACGGGTTCTGTGTCCCAGAGATGAACGTGCTTTGGTCCGAAATGTGCACATCAACCCAAGAACAAAAGCAAAAGACCTTGTGAAGATGCTGGCTGAAGCTGGTAAAAGTGTGTCATTATCAACAGTGAAACGAGTCCTGTACCGACATGGGCTGAAAGGCCACTCTCCCAGGAAGAAGCCATTACTCCAAAAGAAACATAAAAAAGCCAGATTACAGTTTGCAAATGCACACAGGGACAAAGACCTTAATTTTTGGAGACATGTCCTGTGGTCTGACGAAACTAAAATTGAACTTTTTGGCCATAATGACAATCGTTACATTAGGAGGAAAAAGGGGGAAGATTGCAAGCCTAAGAACACCATCCCAACTGTGAAACATGGGGGTGGCAGCATCATGTTGTGGGGTTGTTTTGCTGCAGGAGGGACTGGTGCACTTCACAAAATAGATGGCATCATGAGGAAAGAACATTATGTGGACATACTGAAGCAACATCTCAAGACATCAGCCAGGAAGTTAAAGCTTGGGTGCAAATGGGTTTTCCAAATGGACAATGACCCTAAGCATACTGCCAAACTGGTTAGAAAGTGGCTTAAGGATAGCAAAGTCAATGTTTTGGAGTGGCCATCACAAAGCCCTGATCTCAATCCTATTGAAAATTTATGGGCAGAGCTGAAAAGGCATGTGCGAGCAAGGCGGCCTACAAACTTGGTTCAGTTACACCAGTTCTGCCAGGAGGAATGGGCCAAAATTCCTGCAAACTATTGTGAGAAGCTTGTGGAAGCATATCCAAAACGTTTGACCCAAGTCATACAGTTTAAAGGCAATGCTACCAAATACTAATGAAATGTATGTAAACTTCTGACTCTCAAGAAAGTAATAAAAAATTGTCTAAAAAATGATCTGTCTCATTATTCTGGTATTTAGCAAATAGAAATAATTTTGGTAATCCTAATTGACCAAAAAACAGGAAAAGTTTAATCTGATTTAATGTTAGACGGTGAGAAAAAAAGGTTATGTGCCTTTTTATATGGTGTATGTAAACTTCTGGTTTCAACTGTACCTCACACCACTGTGTATGACACATCCATGTCATTGCATCACATTGTGAGAGGAAAAAAATACAATCACATCATCAGTTAGGTTATGAAGTTGTTTATTATAACTTTCTAATACATTTAAACCGACATCTTTAAATTAGTTTTTCCTAAAACTTCATTTCAATGACATTAGTTACAATCAAAATTTGTGTGACGTTGCTTATATTTCCACTAATGGTTTAGATTCGTATCAGTTTTATCCTCTCCAGATTTCTCCAGCAGCAGCCACCTGTTGTCCAGACTCTGCCCCTCACGTCTCTGACACACTGGATGTGAGTGTTTCTTGTCTCAAGTGGAAACACAGGAGTGAATCTCATCCTCCAGTATCCATGGTTACAAGCTCGTCCATTGTTGCGACTTCCACAACCAGGATTGGATCTTAATATCTGCTGCAGTCCTGTGTACTATACCAATCAGTATCAAACATATCTACAGTACACAGAATTAAAGAGGTGTGTTCTTCCTCGAAGTGTTTCATGAGTCAGACGACCTGATCCACACCTGTGGTCAACATGTCTCCACCCCTGATAAAAACGGCCCGGACAAAGCTATAACCTGCCCTGCTGAGTGATCCGATGGTGCACCAGGACCTCTGTGAGGTCAATGTCCTTTTATTTGGCCTTTCCAAACAATACGGAGCCGTACTTTATACTGCCATGCAAACAATAAGTACTCACTCACAGCCACGTGGACACAAACACCATGACAGTTCAACTGTTCAGGCCTGCTTTGTATCTTTAAGGGAAAATGTGTTGTTAATCAGAGGTTTTATGACACAACAACTGATTTGTACTTGTGTTTTTAAAGTGTTTTCTATTTCATTTTCAGGTTTGGAAGTTATATTGTCACCAAAAAATCTATATAATAAGTATCTACTGGATTAACAGATGAAAGAGGGAAAACCTGTACCTCCAATTCAAGGTAGGCCACTTGTACTTGACTTAAGGATTTCCATTTTATGCAACTTGATACATCTCCGCAAAAGGTAAACATTTACTTCTTCATTACATTTGCCTGATAGGTGTAGTTACTTTTCACATCACGGTTTGCATCCCCTTCTTGTCCAGTTAAAACCAAGAATCTCCAGATGTGTTGATGTTGAATGTTTTTGATAAACTGAAGCATGAAGTGTTTCTTCATGGACTCTTCAACTAAATAAACTCTTAAAAAAAGCTCTTTGATCAGCTGGAAAATGCATCGTCACAGGACAGTGACATTACAAACATAAGATAATCTTATAGAATAGATGCACTGATGTATGTAAAACTACTCATCAGTACATAAACAGTACATCTAGGCCTACAGCAGTAAAATCTAACATACACATTAATGGCAGCTGTAATATTAATCCAAAAACATCAGATATAATGGTACAACACTGACAGGGAACATCTCTACGGCTGGTATCTCCAGCATTCAGCAACTCACACCAAAACAATCTAGACTAATGAATAGCACATGAGAGAAGTTTGTCTTTAAGGCTTTCTGTCAGAAAGGCAGAAATCCACCTATTTTAACCCAAATCATGATCTTTTCCCTAAACCTAACCAAGAAAAGACAAACTTCTTCCAACAGCTCACAAAGAGCACTACAGGTATGAGAAAAATATGTAGGCCTATTTTTGATTTTGGGGTGAACTATCTCATTAAGTAAGCAGAGAAGACTGCAACCAGTTTTATTTTGAGGAAACCTTAAGTAGGACTTTAAGGGAAATCTTAACTTAGGGGTATTTTATGCAACTAATTTTCTAGTCTTTAACTAGGACTAAAATGAATCTTAATTTAAGGTCTTTTGTGCTACTGATGTTATCTTGAGGAAACCTTAACCAAGACTTTAAGGAAAATCTTAACTTAAGGTGTTTTGTGCAACCAATGTTATCTTGAGGAAAACTTAACAATGACTTTAAAGAAAACCTTAACTCAAGGTGTTTTGTTCTTAAGTAAGACCTAAAAAAATCTTAACTTAAGGTGTTTTGTTCAACCGATGTTATCTTGAGGAAACCTTAACTAGGACTCTAAGGGAACTCTTAACTTAAGGATATTTTTGTGCAACCAATTTTCTAGTCCTAAACTAGGCCTTTAAGGAAAAACTTAACTTAAGGTGTTTTGTGCAACCCATTTTATCTTGGTGTATTGTGCAACCTTTGTTATCTTGAGGAAACCTTAACTAGGACTTTAAGTAAAATCTTAACTTAAGGTCTTTTGTGCTACTGATGTTGTCTTGAGGAAACCTTAACCAGGACTTTGAGGAAAAGCTTTACTCAAGTAGACTTTAAGGAAAATCTTACCTTAAGGTGTTTTGTGCAACCGATGTTATCTTGAGGAAATCTTAACAATGACTTTAAAGAAAACCTTAACTCAAGGTGTTTTGTTCTTAAGTAAGACTTTAAGAAAAATCTTAACTTAAGGTGTTGTGTCCAACAATGTTATCTTGAGGAAACCTTAACTAGGACTTTAAGGGAAAGCTTAACTTAAAGATATTTTGTGCAACCAATTTTCTAGCCCTAAACTAGGGCTTTAAGGAAAATCTTAACCTAAATTGTTTTGTGCAACTGATTGTATCTTGGTCTTTTGTGCTACTGTTGTTATCTTGAGGAAACCCAAACTAGGACTTTAAGGAAAAATCTTAACTTAAGGTCTTTTGTGCAACCGATTTTCTCTCAGTGTCTTGTGCAACTGATTTTATCTCTTTTGTGCTACCGATGTTATCTTGAGGAAACATTAACCTGGACTTTAAGGAAAATCTTAACGTAAGGCGTTTTTGCAACCAATTATATCTTGGTGTTTTGTGCAACCTTTGTTATCTTGAGGAAACTTTAACCAGGACTTTAAGAAAAATCTTCACTTGAGGTCTTTTGGGCAACTGATTTTATTTCGGTGTTTTGTGCAACCTTTATCTTGAGGAAACCTTAACTTCGACTTTAAGAAAAATCTTAACGTAAGGTGTTTTGTGCAAGCAATTTTATTTTGGTATTTTGTGCAGCTTATTTTATCTCGGTGTTTTGCGCAACCTTTGTTATCTTGAGGAAACCTTAACCAGGACTATAAGAAAAATCTTAACATAAGGTGTTTTTTTGCAACCAATTATATCTTAGTATTTTGTGCAACCTTTGTTATCTTGAGGAAACTTTAACCAGGACTTTAAGGAAAGTCTTAACTTAAGTGTTTTGTGCAAACGGCCCCTGTTCATGAGCAGCTGATGAAATATTTCACTTTACCAACTGACTTGTTCCTTCTTATTGAGATACCTCGCGCGCTCGTGCACGCATAACTTATGAGGGCTTCCCCGCGCTGCACGTGCGTGTACAAACTGGAGAGCACGAGAGAGAGAGAGAGAGAGAGAGAGAGAGAGAGAGAGAGAGAGGAGGCAGTCTTCTTCTTCTTCTTGGTGTCGCTTCCGGCTTCAGACTCACAGACAAACAGCGCTTTACTACGAGCTGAGAGGAGTCGAGCAGCAGCAGCGGCATGACAACACAAACTAACTCTGTGGACTGAGAGCTCACTGTCACAGGAGGAATTCACCGCTCGGTACCAAACCCTCTGAAGTCTCCCTCAAATATCCACAGACAAAACATCTGTAGAGGAGAAAGACATTTTGAAATCTTCTTCTGTGGAGGAGGATTTTTTTGGGGTGAAAAGGTGAAGACCGGCGGCAGCGTCGAATAAGCTCGTCTGTGGAGGAAACCAAAAACACAACACAGGAGGAGTAGAGAAGTTTTGACTGCTGCTGCACAGAGAGCCGTGTCTTTGTGTGAAGAAGAAGAAAGAGAAGAAGAAGAGTCATTCTCGGTTTATAGCTGCTGGGATCTGTCTGTAGTATCAGCCAGACCAATAAAAGTGTCCCGGAGCAGTCTTGGAGAGGACGGTAAGATAACACAGGGCCTGCTGCTGTCAGCTCTCAGCACATTATTCAGGTTATTACACTTTAATAGCAACACCTGTGGTGCAGATGGAGAGGGTACAGTGAAAGCTGACACAATTATAGGCCTAGTAATGTATTCAGTGAGTGGGGAGAGGAGAAAATCAAACTATTTGAGTAGTTTTAAAACAATTTTATGCTTATTCTTAATTAAAATTATATAATTAGAGCTTAAAAGAGTATTTAGTCTTACTGGGTCTTGAGTTTTGTGATTACAGATGCACTCTTTTCAAATTACAGCTGCTTTTCCAGTGATATACAACACTAAATAATACTGTATACTACTTTTTAGCCACATTACATAGAAAAAGGTGGAGTTGGACAGGATTTAATGGCATCTGAATCCTTAATTGAAGCCACTTGTCAAAGCCGGATCACTGAAACACCTTACAGTAAATCAGTTTAGCTTTCAACAACTGTATGTTACAATAGTTACTAACAGTTATTATAAAATATCAACATCCAATTTTTTTTTTTTTTTTTTTTTTTACTTATGAAAAGACAGCTGCAGCACACATTTGTCAGACTCTTGTTTGATTTATTAGTTATTTTACCAGCTTGCAACCACATCCAAAATGGGTCCTGCCATAGGAACCAACTGCATGCATCAAATTTGACTGTGGTTTATTTCTGGGGCTGCAACTATTGATTATTTTGCATTAATCGATGCAGTATTTGGCTTATAAAATGTCAGATAATAATGACACATGGTCAGCACATTTTTTAAAATATCTTACACAGAGATATTCAATTAAAGTTGACATCAAATCCTCCAACTGAAAAAGCTGCAACTGTCAATTCAAAAATAAATAAATGAAAAATAATATTTCAATGAATAATTTCTGTCAGTTGACTAATTGTTGATGCTCTAGTTTAATTTTCTACAGGCCCCCCTCAAGTAGAGCTGCAATGATTAAATGATTAGTTGTCAGATATTGAATTAATCACCAATTAATCTGATAACCCATTTAAGCTTCTTAAATGTGAATATTTTGACATTTAAGGACGTCATCTCGGGCTGTGGGAATCACTGATTGACATTTTTCACCATTTTCTGACATTTTATAGACCAAACAACTTGTATATAAAAAATAATTGACAATTAAAGTAATCATTAGTTGCAGCCCACTTGAGGCTCTTTACCTTCTGGGAACCAATAACCTTTAACTGTGGTGTGGTTCTCTGCTTTAAGTATCCCATCTGCTAGTAGTTGGTCTGTGGTGGTATGTTAATTTAACATTGCAGTATTGATTGTGATATAGTAAAGTTTCCAGACATTCCATTGAGCAGATAGGGATTAAATAATACCTACCTGAATGTGTGTTTTTGGCTGGCAACGTTACATCACATTTGTGCAAAAAAATCATTTAAATTTTTAAATTCAATATTATCATAAATTAATCCTGCTCATTGATGTATAACTTTGCCCACAATGATCTAATACACTAATACAGAGATATAAAATGAATGACCGCTCACAAGATAAAGAATATACTGGGGACCCCCTCATAACTGTCCCTTGGAGGAAGTTAACGTTACCTTTTTTTAACACCTCTGCTGTCTGAACAAGGCGAGAGAGATGTATTTGATAGACATTAGACGTGTTGAAATATTCACACCTCCTCAGCACCGAATATTCATAAAACAATGCCATTAACATCAGTTAAGTTACTTGCCAGTAGCGCTGTATCTAAAGAAAATATAAATGGTACGTCAAGAAAAAAAGGGCTAATGTGGAGTGCATTTCAGAACATGACAGCCTGATATAGGTTGGCAGTCTGAAAAGCATCTGAGGCACTTTGATTATAGATAAAAATCCATATCAGTAGAGTTCTTGTGCTTAAAATCAAAGTGCCTCTGATTGTTTTATTCATATATAGGCAAAATAAAACGTATTCAACAATTTGTCAGATTAGAACGTAATCTATGAGCTGCTCAAAATTTAAAAATTGAAATATACCTTGTCAAACTATGAAGCCTTTTGGGGAAATAAAAAATATTTTATATTATGATAATTTAAACTAATATATCTGAAAACTCTTCCCCGACCTCCTTGCAGAGTGTCACTGACCCCACTTTGAGAGTCTCTGTAAACAGTGTGGCAACTTATATGACGGCAGACAAAATAAAAATCATCTCTTTGTGTTATGCTGTCATATTGCCCCGCCATCTGCTTATGTACATGTTAAGAAACAATCAGCATCAGCATCTTTGAAACTTTTTCTCAGCTGAGTTGCTCCGAGCGTACTGTACGTAGGTTTAATGCCCACTTGTGTGGGCGAGTGGACAGTTTGTATACTCATGCAGTCCCACTCAACCTGACATTAGGCTGCGCTCAAACACAGACAGCATTTACATGTGCTGTTATATCAGAAACAACACAACCAGTGTTTGTTGTTTAAATTTTAGATTTATTTATTTTGAATTATCAGTACGGAGTCATGGTAGGAGCTGTGGTTTGCTTCATCATCCTGCTTCATGTCTGTTGTTAATTAGCACTAATGTATCTTAAAGTGTTTGGAGTGTCAACATCATGGATACAGTGCTGACACATGTGTCTGTTTGGACAGTATTATCTGTGAGGGAGATGGAGACATGTGGGTGTCAGAGTGGGATGGAGGAGACAAAATATGCAATGTGGTTCTGCTTTTTGCTGAATGTTTTCTCCCTGCATTTGTTTTTAAGCTGGTTAGAGCACAGTGGACGTCCTCTATGAAAGTATGTTCCTCCTCCTCCTTTTAGCGCATCTGATGGCATTTGCAGATGAGGAAGTTTGTGACCCGACCACCATGTTAAAAACAGTTGAGCTAAAACTAAGCCCACCCACAACTTTCTAATTTTACAGCTAATATTACACAGAAATAGGTTTATGAAAACATTTGAGGAGAGAATGCAGTAACAGAATCTTGTTTCATATTTGAACAGCGCTGCCTGGTTTGACAGTTTGACCACAGGTCACAAGCTGTGATTGACATGATTGACAGCTGCGTTAGAGGCTCCTCTGCATTGATGGGTTGTTTTCCTGAGATGCACTATGAGGTGGAGGAGGCAGAGGAGCATGATTTGTTCACAGACAATCTATCTCATGTATATCAATGGTAGTTTCGGTTAATTTTGCTTTGGATTGACCGACACCCAGAAAGGTGCGGGGATGATGTTTAATTGTTGGCCAGCATGGACGATAGTGTCGCCCTGGTTCCCTCATCGAAAAGCCAACTGGATCTTTCCATTTGATTTTAGGTTATTGCCGAAAATAAGTTCTGTGGCAAACAAACATTTGTCACAGGGCAAGATAATCTTCATAAATGAACACCACTTTTAAGATTTTTGAAGAGTAGATGCAGTCACAATCCAACCACACCACAGTTGTGTGACGTCACCAACGAAACTGTAAATCCGAATTTGGCATGATGACGCTCTGTTGTCTCTTTTAGCCTCTTGTTAGCAACGTTCTTTTTTAGGAAACGTAAAAGCTTCAAAATTCATGAGTGGGGTATTTACTGACATATTTTATGTCATAGAACAAAACGTGAAAATCTCTTAAGGCACCTAACCAAAAATCCATTGACCTCGAGACAAGGGAACCACAAGCGCAAAAAAAGCAAACTTATTTCTGGGTTTTAGGGCACCTGCACTACTCTATTAAAGCAGCTGTGGGGAACTTTACGTTTTCGTTGATTATTGTGCCCCCCTTGGTCGACGCGGTATGACACCCACAGCCTGGTGTCGTAAAAATCTCGACTGCAACCGGCAATTACAGCATGCATTTGTTTTGGAAAGTGAGAGGAAAATCATAAATGTTCTGGTGTAGCTCTGAATTTCTTATAAACTGAGGACAACTGCCTGCTGTATATTTGTGTTCATGGTCACAGTCACAGATAATTTTGTGGCGTTTGTTGTAACGTTACTAGACAAAAGCGGTTCACATCAGCTAACGTTACATTTAGCTTGCTTATAACTTCCATGTCGTCATATATTGAAGTGAAACAACGTCTAACAAGTTGCGGTATATTCTCTAAATAAAAACAAAAATGACATACCTGTCGATTAGGAAAAGGGCCAACTCGGGATCAGTTTTAAAACCGTTCAAATCTCTCAGCTCTCTCCACTTGCTGAATGCCCGACCGAGGTTTACACATGTTTGGACTCGAGCACTATCACTGTTCTGTTTAACCTTCTTCTGTTCTTTTTCTTTTAGATGGTGCTCCTTCTTTATCCGCCATGACATCGAAAGTACAACCAAGTTCTTATAGATACATCTGGTAAAACTGTTATGTGTTCAGCAATGCCCGTTGCGTACCGCTTACTCAAAGAACACTCTCTGTAAACACGGCTCTTCTTCTTCTCTCAATTTATTGGCGTATCGCAACTTCCAGGTGCATACCACCACCTACTGTACAAGAATGTGCAACATCATGTCATTTAGCCTGTTTCTTAAATCCTACTCATAAACACGGCTCCTTCTTCTTCTGTGGTTTAATGGCTGCGGGCTGCTGCGGGCGTGCAGACTTACTTCCGCCTCCGGGTGCCGTATTCTGGTTTGCTGACTTCCGCTGTGTCTGACCCAAGCGAGGCTACGCTAAATAGCCATATAGAGAAAGGCTTTTTTGTCGCTGTTTGGTTCAAATAAATATGCGGATCTTCAAGGGGGGGGTGATATGAACTAGGGACAGTTTTATAAATGGTAAAAAGTTCCACACAGCTGCTTTAACCAGTAACTAACTGGTTAATTTTAAATCAAAAAACATAAAATGATGTGAAATGCAAGAGGCCTTTCCTTCTATCCTGGTGCTCCACTGACATAGTTAGCTTTAGCGCCACATTTCAAAGCGCCAACCATTTAGAGATAGTGAAAATTTAATGTTCTGTGATGAAACGTCTTGCCTGTTATTTTACTTTCTGTTGGCTTTCCTTACAAAAGGCCTGCTATTTGTGTTGACGTGTGA